AACTTTGTTTGACTACTTTATCTCTGTTAACTATTCTGTTTTATTTGAACTTACTGGTGACTTACGAGCCATACAAACATTTAAAGTACTGTTACTTTACTTACTTTTTTGGGATTCCTGCCTACTTTTTAACTCTAAAATTGTAATGAGACAGAGAAGATCATTAAACTAATGCATAGAAATTTAAAAAATGCCTCATTCTGCTCCAGTTGTTACGGGGTAATGCAACCCACAGAGCAGGTACCTTTTTTTTTATGGCAGAAGAACAACATTTAAGTTGGTTCCTCTTGACATAATGCAGGCAAAGTTCCCAAAAAGGTTCCTAGGAAAAGTTCTTACGGTGGACGCTACAAAAAGAGGGTTGTTTTGATATATGGCCTCATTTTTTCTTCTTCAGCAACCCATATGGAAGACCTAATAGGAAAGGAGGAGATGGACGGTTTGAAAGAGATAGACGAGGCAAAGGGGGAGGAGGTGGTAGAAGAGGAGGCGGCGGCTATAGAGGAGATCGAGGTGGAGGAGGCAGCAGTGGCGGAGGAGGGAGAAACCGGTCAGGATGGTACAAAGTAACGGTGGGTATTCACTGGGCAGTCACCACAAGACATCCATATTTGTACATCTTAACCTGTTAAAAAGAGATCACATATTTCTTTCTTGTCTGTTTGATAGATACCACATGGAAGAAAATATGACAAGAAATGGTTATTGACAGCTCTTCAGAGCATCTGTTCTCTTCACATCCCAGCTGTACAGGTGAGGCTCAGTGCTGTCTTGAGATGAAGATGAAGATTTTATGGAAAGTGTCTTTGTATGTATGAATGTTTATGTCTCTTTCTTCCCCTGTCTGCCCAGTACCATGTTGACCACAACAGGGTCCATTTCTATGTGGATGATTCGTCTGTTGTCAGTGCTTTGCAAAAGTGTTCTCACAAGATCACAGACACAGATGGTTATAAGGTATGTTTGTGTAATATTAGAAATCTTACTCTTATTGCTGCAAGTCTGCTATCCTTAAGTTTACCTGCAGCTTGCAAAATAGTGGCTACAATGTCATCAGTCCATATCCTATCTTCCATGACCTCTATGAATAACTATAAATTATACGTTATCTAAAACTCAACATGTGTACGGTTTATCTCTATTTACCAATCTCTCATATCTCTACAAGGTGGAAGTGCATGTCAACCCCAGCGCTCCACCGTCCTTCCTGCTCTCAGACCTGAAGCCTGAACACTTGGAGCACCTGAAGGTAAGCTAGAGGTAGTAAAAAAACGATCTCAGGGGTCTGAGTGTGGCTGTGAGTATTTGTGTGTCTCACAAATACTGGTTAGAATTTAATTTAAATATCTCTGATACTCACTGAGTGAGTACAAATTAAAATACATGAACTAAAATACAAATATAAATAGGAAAAATATGCTGATTAATGAAGTGCATGATTTTTGCGTTATGGTAGCTCACCTGCTAGAGTGTGTGCCCAATGTACAAAGACTGAGTTTGATTCCAACCTGTGGCCCTTTGCTGCATTTCAGCCCCTCACACACTCACCTTTCCTGTCACTCATCAGTTATCACTATCAAATATAGACAATAAAAGCCCTAAACCAACCTCCTTGCATAAACATAATTTGGTGCTTCATTTACACAATCAACCACGTACACCTCACAGCATTTGTTGTTGTTTCCTTCTGTGTTTGCTTTCATTCATAGTTAGATTAGCGAGCATTAAATAATCATGATCAAAACATAAAATCAAAGTTAATATAATATCAATAGCTGGTAAACAAAAACAATATACATTGATTGCTGTGGGAACAAAGGAACTCTGTAACCATGGACAAACCCTGAATAAAGTAATTTGGTGCCATATTTTCTAAGGAACATACTTTTGGGGTGTTTTAGGAATTAATTTTTTAAGACAAAACTCCCCATTTTTAAAAAGTTAACTCAATTTGGAATTCTATTAATATGAGCCTTTTTTTTTATTATTATTTGCTGTTGAGATAAGGCCTCTCATATTAGCTTTTGTATCTTTCACAGCAATGCATGGCAAAACGTTTTGATGGCTCCCAGCAAGCATTGGACTTGAACAACATCCTAACAGACCCAGGTAATCATTCTCTCACATGAACTGTATGTATGACATGACATTGAACGCATACAAGACTAATAGTTACAAGTAAATGTGTGGTTGTTAGTATTTATACACAACTTCTAAACTATTGAATTATACAAGATTATACAGATCTAGTCTGTTTATGTTCTAAATATAAGGTCACTGCAATGTTGTTTTATTTTGAGGATTCAAATGATAATGCAGACAATCTGGTGATGAAACCTTACTTTCTTGTATTACCGTACGAAAGTGATATTAAATCCTTTTCCAGTTTTGTATATCTATGTAGTATTTTGATTGCTAATTTTATTTTACGTGATAGACCTGGTGTCCCAGAACATTCAAGTCGTCTTGAATAGGAAGACGAACATGGAAGCTGTCATCAAGATTATTGAACAAAACATTCCAGAGGTAATATTAATACATTTATATAGTTTGCTAGAAAATAAACTCTTTTGCTGTTGTCAAAATGTACCTGGTTTCTAATTAAGTGGTGGGTCAAACTGAATATTCTTCCACGCGTCTCTCCGGCTCTTTCCAGCTGACGTGCTTGAATCTGAGTAACAACCGCATTCACAAACTGGATGAACTTGCTGAATTGGTTACCAAGGTCCCTAATCTGAAGACCCTCAACCTTTCCCACAATGAGGTAAAACTGGCTGCTCGGTTAATCTAGATAATAATTCAGGCATGAATTGCGCCCTTAGCCCGATTTATTTTTAGATCCTCTTCTGACACAAACTCATTCTGTTTCTGTGTGGTCTTCCAGCTGAAGTCAGACCGGGAGCTGGACAAGTTGAAAGGCCTGAAGCTGGTGGAGCTGTGGCTGACCAAGAACCCTCTGTGTGACCTCTTCAAGGATCATGCCTCTTACATCAGGTCAGTCAGTGATTTTGGGGGGTGAGGGGAGAAGATTTTACTGAGTGGACATGGTAACGTGACTTTGTGTGTGAGCAGGGGTGTCCAGGACTCTTTCCCGCATGACAAGAGTAGGCACTAATGTGCTACGAAAGGAGATTAAGCAAGCCTCTGTGTTTTTGTAAGATTATCTGTACAATAACTGAAACCACTTCCCCAGCAGTCAAGGATGAACATTTGGACCAGAGGCAGCTGACAGTCACTGTTAACTCCATGTATATATGTATGTGTGTGTCTTGTGTGAGAGAAAAAGGAGGAGAATAGAAGCCCATTAATTAATTTGTAATAGTTAAAATTGCACATTGCATCCCACTTCATGATTAACATTTCCTTCACACTGCACCTGAAACATTTCTTGTTTACTTCTTACTTCCAAAAGTTGGAGTTGAGGACATCTACCCACGATGCAGTTCGACATGGCTTTCCTTTCAGCTTGCTTTAACTCTCCACAGTTTGAGCAGCCATCTTCTCTCTGCCAGTTATTCAGCCTCTCTGTGGGACATCCTTTCAAGCTTTGTTTTGTTTTATGGTTCTCAGTGATGCTGTTCCCAGCACTCCCCTGCTGACATAGTGATTAGTTGTCCCATAAGCTGCTGTTAAACACCATCACACTGCTGATGAGATATAACTCTGAGAAGAGGCACTTTTTTTAAAGAGGACATTCAGCATGACAACCCTCTAACACAATTTACTATGAACTGCTTTCGAAAATATGAATCCAGAACAATCTCTTGAGCAGTACTGTAAAACAGTGTAGGTTGTTGTTGGAGGGCACTCCACAGTTGCTTTGACAAATGTTTGGATGAAACAAAGAAAATCCACAGCCAATGATTTCCTCTCCCCTCATAGTACCCATGCCCACTCAGCCCCCTGTATCAGGCGAGTATGGAAGGCTGGATAGCCCATGACGGGTAAGATCCCACCTCGAAATCTCGGGACAACCTAAGGCAGGCACAGTCACGATTACTCGGCCTCAGTCCCTGTGAGCCGTGACTCACTAAGAGCGCGACGAGAAGAACTTGTGAAGACGGGACTCCACAGGAAAAGCTGTTGGGCTGAGGCGGAGGGGAATATGAGTCATTCTCAATGACCAGTGATGGGCCAAAGAGAAAAAGCAGTCTGTCTCTTCCACTAAGTTGGTTCTCTTTGGCTTAAAACAAGCCTCTGCTGTTCTGTGAATGATGTGGAGAGTTATACCCTTAACTGACCTCTGAGGGAAATATGTTCTGAACTGAAATAAGTCAAATGAAAAAAAGTGAAAATACTTCCCTCTTCCAGTTTCTGATGGCTGTGACCAGTACAAAAAGCTCAAACATTAAGCAGAGAGAGCAGTGTAGAGAATTATCACTCAAGTTGAATGCTTAATGATTTCCCAGCCCCTCTTTAAACAGTGGCTTGGGCCCAAATTAAGCAAAAAAAAATAAATGCCTACAGCATGTAGTCCACTTACTGCTATTGCATGAAGACCCATCTCTTCAGAATTGATGGTGCCTATGAGATATTTAACTGTTAAGTGTTTTGCTCGTGCAGCAGGGGGAGGCTATAGAATGCGTGGTGGGACTGCTGGGTGCAGCTCACTTTGAGGCCGGCTGTCCTTTTTGTCCAGCTCTTTTCTCAGGTTGCCTTTCATTGCTGATAATCTTGGGCGCAGACACCGACAAATTTACTCACATGATAAATAGTGAATGAATGTTAAACTACTTTTACTAGGGTTTTTTGAACTTGACTTTATTTTTTATTCTTTTTACCCAGACCCTGTTTTGTTATTTGGTCATTTTGTTATCTGTTCCCCAGCATCTTGGCCAGAGTTTGAGGAGGGGGGTTAACACAAGACTGGTGGTAACCACCTCTCTCCCAGAAATACATAATCTCTTTATTTTGCTAATTCAAAATGGATGTGTTTACTGGTTTTCAGCGCAGCCTGGTAGATTGTGGGTCTCTGCATGTTTGTGTGTGTTCGTAGAAATGTATTTTTATGTTGCTTCCCCATGTCAGATCTGTGTATATCTCCGTATTGGGGGAGAGGGTGAGTATACCGGCTGGTAAGTACACAGAAAAATGTCAAAGGGCACAGCTTGAAACTGAAGAGGAGTAAGGACGTGTATGATAAGTCCTTTTTATTGATTTAGTTGTGTACAAACCTTTTGTGTCTCATGTATGTATACATGAATGTATTCTCCCAAATGTTTTTGACAGTGTAGCACCTTTTTTTTTTTTTTTTAAATTACATCAACTGAAGAGCGCAAAATGACATGACTGACAGTGGTATCTACATTAAAGAGCATGATTTATCTGTGTGTGTGTATGGGGTGGTTTGTGATGATAACTTTACCGCTCCTGATTTTTGTTCCTGTACCAGTGCTGTGCGGCAGAGGTTCCCCCGGATTCTCAAACTGGTAAGTCAAAAAAAAGTACAGCATGAAAATGACATGGGCCCAGGTTAAATATCTTGTTTTTAAGGATTTGTTGACATTGCACCAATTTGATCCGTTTAAGCCTAAATAGAAGCAGTCATCAGAACAGCACACAAACAGCATTTGATAGTTAAGGCACCCTACTATCGCTGAAAAAAAGAGCGCCTTCCTTTGTTTGTTTCTATTTTTATGCCTCTAATAACACAGCCTTGTTTCCTTTTTTTTAATAAGTTATTGTGTGTTTTCTTGAAATAATACATTTTGTGTAATAAACTTATAGTATGTGGATGCAGTCCACTCATATTTTCTCTCGTGTGTTTTCTTTTTAGGATGGTGATGACCTCCCCCCACCCATTGGATTCGATGTGGAAACGCCCACCACTATCCCCCCCTGCAAGGTTACTTATTTTACCTCATTGATTGTATACTTCTATTCAAACTGATTTATTGATGATGTCTTGTAGTGTACATGACAGTTAGTAGGCGCTCTCCAAGACATTCATTTCTTTAGTAACACACTTCAGAAGTGTATGTTTAAGCTGCAGTCATAAGCCAGTCGCTGTCTCTGTTATGTACCTGACAAATGTTTTTCCAATTGATGATGCAGGGCAGCTGTTTTGGCTCAGATGAAATCAAGGCTCTCATCCTTCGGTTCTTGCAACAGTGAGTATTTAGCCTTTTATGTAGAGGATCTTCTTACAACAGTCAGTTGATCAGTGCTTCTCCAGCCTTAATGTGACCCAGCCTAGTGACTGATTAACCAGCACTGCTATTTTTGGTACTTCAGTTCCAGAAAAGGGTCTGTCACAGGGACAAACACAAAAAGACTTACTGAAGTTACTGTATTGCAGGTACTACAGTATATACGACTCGGGGGACAGACAGCCGCTCCTGGATGCTTACCATGATGGAGCGTCGTTATCCCTCACAACACCTTATTCCACCCAGAACCCCTCCAGGTAAGAACACACACATTTCTGTAAACACCTAACACTGATTAACACATGACGGAATGTCAGAGCTTTATTAAGTAATTAATTTTAAAGATTTGTGTATGTAGCTCCACCCATCACTGCCTGCCCTGATCCGAGTCCCTGCTATGTTCACATTGATTCAATCTGTCCCTGACTTCTGGTTCTAGGAGCAGTCTGGGAGAGTATCATAAAGACAGCCGAAACCTGAAGAGGCTCAAAGATTCCAGTGAGTTTCCCATTTCGAGCTGTTGACCTTTCACACCGTCTGAATCATTGAGTGCACATTTTTGTGATTTGAGATTTTTTCTTATATGTTCTTCTCTGAATTTTTCCTCCCCTAGCCATACGTTTTCGACTTCTGAAGCACACACGACTAAACGTTGTGGCTTTCCTCAACGAGTTGCCCAAAACTCAGCACGACATTGCCTCCCTTAATGTCGATGTAAACACCTACACCGTGAGTTTATTTTGTCAGCCAGCTCATCATTAGCCTTCTCGTCTCACTGGGGATCATTTCTCTGTATTCATTCAGCAAAAATGTTTTCTGTTTACAGAACACACTGCTATCATTCACAGTGAGCGGAGTCTTTAAAGAAGGTGAGTTTTGTACGTCGACATGTATTTAAACACTGCAAAGTTGAGTGTTGTTGATTCTGTTACCTAATTAGTGTCATGTCTGTTTTTCAGTTGCTGTTGATGGTAAATCCCGAGAGTCCACCATGGCCTTCTCTCGAGTTTTCATTACAGTCCCAGCGGGAAGTACCGGGTAAGTTTGGTTGGTTCTTATTATATCTTTGTTGTCATTCACATTTTCCCTAAGGAAGGGGAAATAGTACATTATTAACAACAGTTGTGGACATTCAAGAAAATGAAATTGACATGAAGACAAACATCCTTGTTTTTGCTTTACAGTCTGTGAAATAACAGCTATGAATAAGAAGATATGCTCTCTAAAATAACTGACTTCACAACAATGAGATTTATAGAAAAAAAGTCCCTTCCCATAACTGAACTATGACCTTACAGTTATATGGTGTGCTACTCCAACTGCCATGATGCTTTAACCACTAGGCCACCTGAAAGCCAATATTAATTTGTAATTAATTGCATAACTAACTAGAATGAGGAATTAAATTTAAATTCAGTTTCCAGTAATATGAAAACAAACCCAGGGACCCAGGTTTGGTTTCTGAATTAAATCAAATTCAATCAATTTGGAGAATCTTTTAAATTCTGATAGTTGATTTACACACTGTCCGACAGTTCACTTAAGTTGCCAGTTTATTAGGTGGACCTAGATAAAGTTAATGCAGTCTAATATCAATCAAAGACTCTCTAAAACAATTTTTTTTTAAAAGTGAATATTTTAACTTTTATCAAGGTTTTAATGCACAGTGGCACTAAAGGTCAGTTGTGCAAAAAAAAAGTTCAACTTGTCCTAAAATACCTGAAACAGTCAAATCTGATCGTCTGTGTTCCTCCTGTGCCAGTCTGTGCATCGTGAACGACCAGCTTTTCATCAGGATGGCAACAACAGAGGAGATCCGCAGAGCCTTCGTCGCTCCCGCTCCAACTCCATCTTCCAGCCCCGTCCCCACCCTCACTGCACCGCAGCAGGAGATGCTCACAGCCTTCTCGCTGAAGTCCGGCATGAACCTGGAATGGTCCCAAAAGTAAGTCTTTAGTCTTGGTGCGTGTTGTGTTGGCAGGAATGTTGACAATGTATTGGCTTAATTTAAAATATCTAAACGCTTATTCTCTGCCACAGGTGTCTGCAAGACAATGAGTGGGATTTCAACAGAGCGGCACAGATTTTCACTCAGTTAAAGGTAACCTGTTATTTCAACTCTCTGCATCTCCATAAAGGTGGGATCATTTTTATAGCGAAGCCCTGTAACGCTTTCTCCTTTCTGTTTGCAGACGGAAGGCAAGATTCCCGACATTGCGTTCATAAAATGAGAAGAGTGGAATCATACTTCTGTGAAATAAAATCTGCAGTAATTTTATTTATGGCTTTTGTTTTATCCTTTACTCTGCCTTTTCTTTTATTAAAAATAATGTAGATCAAGTTTACTTGTGAAAACTGTTTTCTGTTTGTTTTAACAGCCAAATGTCAAGTGTTTGACCTAAAGACTGATGTTGTGATACAATTTCAACAAATTGGTTGTCATTGTAAGTTTTTGGTCATTTGTATAAAAATCACTACATGTTTTCATAGAAATAAAGACAGATGACCAATAGTTGTTTGACCTGTGTCCACATTAATTTGTTTTATGTTTAATAATAAAACATATTTTGTTTACAACAAAACTGATACATTTCACTTCAGCTACAATATGAACAAAATATTGAGCATGAAAGTTCATTCTCGAACTTGGAAATGATAAAAAATCCTATGTCCAAATTCTGTCTGCTGAGGAACAATAAGTTGAAAATAATGAGTGTAATAACTAATTACATTAAAATGTTCTTTTTTATCCCAAGAATTATAGTAATGTATAGAGCTGTTACAATGCTGACACAGGTCATATGTCTTCAGAGCTTCATTTTTTGATAAATGTATGTAAACTTATATTGTTACAAAAGCATATAAAGGTTGGTTTTACATATTCAAAGTTGTGTATTTGTGTAGAAAGTTATTTGTTCTGTTGGATATTTAGATTGAGTTTTGATTGCAGTTCTGCTTCTACCAGACATCTTATATTAGAAAATAAAGTTTTGAAGTGGGTGCACTACTGACCTGTGATGGAGGATAGTAACTTAAAAGACTTTAGAAGATAATCACTTGATTTTACTAACTGAGACTGCTTAAAGCTCCTCTTAGCTTCAGCTAAAGTTGGGGTAATAAAAATGGCACCTGCTGTCTGGGATAATTCTAGGACACTGGATAAATGTATAATTACAAATGAATTAATTATGTTTGTGCATCATGGAATATATATGATTGAGGTGGTCTGTATGAGCTCTACCTTACACCTGCTTACAAACAGAGAAAGTCAGTACACTGGCAGACCCTTTTAGCAATTTATTCACACCGCCAGGGAAAAGGCAAGAAATATATTCAAATATATTATATGGTAATTAATCCCCATGAATGCTGCTCAGAGTAATCGCAGCCCAAGGGTCTCTCCCTCTCCTCTTGTGCCATGTGCAGGCAGTGTGGGGCATGTTTGAACTTCTCTGGATTAGGGCGTATGTAAATATTTGTTTTAGTTTGCAAATATTTAACTAGTTCATTTAGTCTTCTCCCTATGTTTGTAGAAACTTTTTATACTTCAAATATATTATGTCGCCATAGTGCGTTTGAGATTATTTGGCCAAATAAAAAAATAAATGTGTGTATGTCGATTTTCTATCACTGTTGACCAATCAGAAACAAGCCTGCATTTGCATTGCAGTTTCCAGTGGATTTATTGATCCAACAGTTTGATTGTGACCCATCACCATGGTGATTTAAATGTTTTATTCAGATATAACTGCAGGGAACTACTAACAACAATTATTTGCTGGGTCACCAATAGAAACCTTAGTCCTTAGTGGAAATACTGTTAGGTATAAAGAAATCTTATTATTGTGTAAGACTAAAATGGAAATCAGTTGACCTTGGAATGTGGAGAAGTAGAAATTCCAGTAAAGAAAATTACATTTCGGTCAATAAACAAGAGACAAAAAATATACAGCTTTATTAACTATAATAAGACATTACTCTAAACCAGAATGACATGATAGAATGCTAAAATATAAAAGTTCATAATCTCCATTAATATCCCTACCAGTCCTCAAATGTACTGTCGCTGTCATCTAAATGCTTATTGTAATTTTACTTAGTTTTGTATTACTTGTGTTTTCTTTTACCTACCTTATGGGCTCTATACTTATCATGTGTTGTTTTAATTTAAATGTTCAAATCTAAAAAAAAAAGTGTGTAATATTGATTATATCTGACAGTTACTAAATTAAATGAGTTCACTACTGTATATATATTTTTTGTCCTGTGCAATTGTTTTTTTTTTTACACCACCTCCTGCTGTAACCTGTGCAATATTCTATATAAATCACATCTGTATAAAAGCTGTATATAGTGTACTGTACAACTGTAATTCTATGTTTTCTACTTTCATTATATTTTTCTATTTTATTTTGTTATTTAATGTGCATTTGTTTTTGTTTTTCTGGAGCTGCTGTAACGTGTGAATGTCCCTCAGTGTGAGATCAATAAAGTCTTATCTTCATTTTAAACAGAACGACCTTACAAAGATGGCGCCTGGGCTGCGTCACGTCTCCCCCTGTTCCGGGTCCTTCCGTTCGTCACTGTGACGCGGCACGCACGTACGTTCCCCATACCATCAGTTGGCGTATGATAACAATAAACAACCCTGAAACAAGAGATACGAACGAGCCGGACCTGTCGCTCCTATTCGACACAAACGTACCGAAAATATGAGCCGAGACAGCGACAGACAGTTGGGATATCGTCTCGTACAGTAACGTGGGAGTCTCGTCGGTCCTGACACAAAGGATTTTCGAGTTTTTTGTGTGAAGCCTAGGGGAGAACTAGAGTTACGGTCTGCCCCTTCCTTAGCCCCCTCCAGCTAGCTGTGGCTCATTCCTTGTCTTTGCACACTTTGTGTTAGTCTGTTATGCAGTTGCCAGAGGACTGTACTCGCACTCGTTCTCCTCCGCCAGCTCTTCGCTCCCTCTCCCCGCTCTCTCTGGCCCTATGTCTCGCTGGCTCTTCCCCTGGTCGGGCTCAATCAAGAAGCGGGCCTGTCGGTACCTCTTACAGCACTACCTCGGTCACTTTCTGCAGGAGCGACTGAGCCTGGACCAGCTGGGCTTGGACCTGTACAACGGCAGCGGTGTCATCAAAGAAATCAACCTCGATGTGTGGGTGAGTGACGGCGAGCAGAGGTGGAGGCTGTCGACCTGGCAGCACTGCAGCAGCCACCGTGTGTGTTTTTGTCGGACTCGTGCACCCTAAAATGTTTCGCAACTGCTCTCGAGTTCAAAAACAATCTCCAACGTCATGCTCTTAGCCTAGCTGTAGCTCGCATTTCTTCAAGGAAATGCACTTAAGGGAAACACATCATGAGCCCACCAGATGAACTGTATCTCCCCCTCACTAGTCTGGATAGATAATGTGTTCCTCCTGCTGCCATGTTGGGTTTAAACTATATAACTATACTATAAAGTCTATACCCAGAGTGATTAGACAAATATAAAAAAAACAGTTTTCTGATATCTTTCGGTTTTGTTTTACTCCCTCCTCCCTCTTTGCTTCCAGGCCGTCAACGAGCTCTTGGAGTCTCTTGGGGCTCCTCTGGAGATAGTGGATGGGTTTGTGAGCAGCATAGCAGTGACCATCCCCTGGCAGGCTCTCCTGACTGATCACTGCACCTTAGAAGTTTCTGGTCTTCAGATAACATGTCGACCCAAGTACCGCACCAGTAAGTCCACTTAACGGCATCTTCCTGAGTCAACCTGTGTGATCTCCTCTGAACCTGCATCAGTCTGTCACCGGCTGAGTGAGGGGATCTTCCACAGTTTGATACCCAGCTGTCTCAGTTTGACAAGTGTGCTCCAAAATCACCATCATTGTAAAAACTAATTTATCCCTGTTTTTATTATTGTTTTCCCCAAACTATTCCTGAGGTAGAGTTCCTGTTATAACTGTCAATTTGGTTAAAACTGTTATTCAAGTGCAATAAAATAAAAAATACATAGTGTGAATGCAGTCTTAATGTTTTTCTAGAGCCAAAGCTGACATCAGCCCAAAAATAGTCAGTAAACTGTCATATATGATAAATAATAGTACACTAAATCCTCACTTTTGAGCAATTGTTGCCTTAAAAGTGACATTCAGCTGTCAGCTATTTTAATAATTGATCCATTTCCTGACAATTGATTAATCCAATAATTGTCGTAGCTCTTTGCTGGTCTCATAAAGCTCGGGAAGTGCCACCTGGATCTCCACGTGTACATTGTTAATTGTATGTCACATAAATTACAATGTACTAATTGGAAGTGTCCCAGTCACAAAGGTGGCTCACAGACGTCACTTAACACTACGTCTCTGTCAGAGCGCAGAGAGAAAACAAGCAAAAGCCTCATGGTCGAGGCAAGTCTGATGTAGAATAATTCACAAAGACGCCCTGAAGTACAGAAATCACTGAATCCTGTGTGCTGATATTTGCCCTCAGGTGGGGGTTGGGACTCCCAAGGCTGGTCCTCAAGTATGACCTCCAGCATGCAGCTGGCTCAGGAGTGCCTGAAGGATCCTCCGGAGGCGTCTGAGGAGCCACCTGCCCAGCTGGAAGGGCTTGAGATGTTTGCACAAACCATTGAGACGGGTGAGTTAGAGCTGTGTGTGTCCTCACTCTGTGATGCAGTGACAGTGTCAACATACAGACATCAAAATGTGCACTCTGACAGAACCAGTGGGAGTATTTCTCCCAGTGAACCGGTCTGAACTAAGAAGAGATGATTTAGAAAGATCAGTGCTAATGAACCTTTGCATGCCTCTCATCTCATCTGTGTTTGCAGTCCTTCGTCGTATTAAAGTCACCTTCATAGACACCATCGTTCGCATCGAGCACCAGCCCCTGGACCTGGAAACAGGCGTTGCCTTAGAGGTGCACATCAAACGGTAGGTCCTAGAAACAAGCTGCAAAGAAAATGAAAGACTTTTGGATTATTGTGATTTTGTGTCTTTTATTTGTTTTTGTTTTTTAATTCTATCTTCTTCTTTTTGTTAATACTGTAAGATTAGGATATATACATCCTGTAGTTCATGTAGTACATCCATTTTCATCACATATATTATGAAATACTGATGGGAACACAAGCAAATACAGACATGTTTCGTATGCTACTCTTTACAAGTTGAGACTTACAGGTAAAGAGCATCTTGAAATGCAACTTCAAAGGTCACTTTTACAGTTCGTTCAGCAATAATATATTTACAGAAAAGCCTAGTTCAGATACCTTTTAATGGATTACATTGAGCTAGAAATATGATTAGGATCAGCATAGAAGGATAACTTTATTTGTTCTACAAAATAACATTATTAACATCATCATTATTACCTTTCACCAGCTGTGACAGATTGATGGATGGTAGAATCACAAAGGGGCTTCCTGATGTAACCGGGGAACTAAAGAATCTCCCCCCAATCTTCTTTCAAATTTTCATTTCAGTTTTCTTTGGTGAAGACATCTGTTCAGAGCAAAAACACAAGATGGTTGTGATAAAATATTACATCTTTACACCTTTCGGATTGTAGTTAAAAATCAACAATAATCATAAATGAAATCAGATCTACTTTTGTGCATCTATTATTCTCACTTCATTTCACTGTTACAGTAAGAGGGTAACACTGTGCTGTGGGCCTCTTTTGTCAAAGTACACGTGTGAACGAGTGTTCTTATAAATGGGCCGTGGTCATAAAGACATAAAAGCGTCCTGTTGGGGGGGAAACAAACTGAAACACGGACCGGATCTGAAGCACTTTAGGTGATAAAAACAGAACAAAGCAGAAGCTACACAGGATGAGCTTAAACATAGTGGTCAGCATAATTCTCTCAATCTTTTCTGTCATAAAAGTGAAAGTATCCACATTTATACTCACAGCTCCTTTTTTTTGTTGCATTTCACTTTTTTTTTTATCACTCAGGGTGCTAAAATGTCCCTGTGATCAGTAATATTGTAACTCCCACATCAGCACTTATATTACAGTCAGGGGAGAGGGAAAGCAAAATGGAAGCCAAGAATTAGATTCCATCTTCCCTCTGCTCGTCGGCAGATAAGGACAAGAGGGCCCATATGAACTTGTACTCCTTAGCCTTGTGTTGTCACACAGCCTCGGAGTAAGGCTCTTTTTAAACAGGACCAATATTGACGAGGGCATTCACCTGAACGGGGTTTTATCAGTGGCTGCAAATAACTGCTGCCTGTACTTAAGGTCTCGTCAATATGTGATCTCAGGGTAGTCAGTCACCTTGACATTGATGTATATGTGTAATGTGGCCACAGCTGCTGTTGCTGTGCCAGATACTTCACTGGTTGTATGACTATAGATAGAACGTGATAATCGTGATTTATTCAAAGCAACTTTTGCTCTTAATTTATTTGATGTGTTTTTACTGCATTGATATTTTCATCTGCAGTCTTCAGTCCTAATAAAATTAAATGATCTGACAATATTATTAAAGCTGAATTTGCAAAGTAACGGTAACTGAGCTAATTGGCCGACATTCCCACCTACACACTTGTTTCATTAATCACCAGGTAGCCACTGCTGGGTTTCCGGGTTCATTTCCATCAGTGTAACCTGTCTCCTGGATGTGTATGCCGTTTTCTAACTGTGTAACTGTGACACTGGTTAACCTTTTTTTGTTATTGGCTTATTGACAAAGCTGCTCGGGATGGCTGTGTAGATCTGGCTGCCCTGTCGTCTCAAAAAGCATGAAGCGTGTTACAGGGGTTGTGTTTATTAAACAAGGTGCTTCTGCTCCAGTAGTCTATCTGATCATCTCTCTCTCAGAGATCAAGGGACCGACAGCAGAACTGTACTTCAACAACACACACTGTGGCGACTGAGTCAGTAAACAGTGACAAGATATTAAGTGCTACTTGTACTTACCATTTTTGCATCATCGGGTATATTAATGAAAACATGGTTCTCTGCCTTTACCAATGGCATCGTGATTACCTTAAACCGATGTGTTTGCTGTCACCATTAAGGTGTGGCTTCATTTGCAATAGAAGAACCAGCTTCACTTTTCACATATTTTTCTGTATGTACTGAGTTTAATTTTTGTCATGCTGCTAAATAATGTGTGTATGTGGTCGCACCGTGTTGCTCCAGGCTGGAGTACTTTGACGAGGCGGTGCGAGATCCAGCCAGCCAGACAACCGTGCCTGTCGACATCCACCAGCCTCCCGCCTTCCTGCACAAGATCCTCCAGCTGAGCGCTGTTCAGCTGTTTTACGACAGCACAGGCACAGAACAGGTAATAGACCCCACACTGCTATGGGTTCTTCATGTGTAATCTTTGTATCTATTTCTTATTTCTTGTCTTCTTTTTTACATATTTACCTTCTTATTAGCAGGCTGCTGACAGATAAAGCAAACTAGTAACAAAAAATATTGAAGAATAATTCTTGAGAAATTAGTAAAAATTCCAAATGCTTACACAATGTTCTGGCAACAACATGAGCAATCTGAGAAGAGCTGATGTGGATTAAAGGGGTTTGTAATGGCTGATTTATAGTTGTATGTCGG